CTACTTCACGCGTCCAGGCTGCACCGCATGAAACCTAAAGATCACAGTTGCCTGGCCTGTGATAAGTGTTTCACCGTTTGAGTTCATCACATTTAGCAATTATGCACTCATTTGCAAACAAATCTGGTTTTCCGAGAGACTCACCTGAAACTAAGCTGAATCTCTCGTTTGTGATGTTTCCAGGCAACTGAATTTGCTGCACCAGGCCGCCTCATGTTTCAGTCGCTACGATATTCGAGATATCGCGATACATGTGTATATTTGTAATGTACTACACATAAGGTTGCTGAAATTCTGTCGACAGCCCACGACCGGTTTCGCCCTTCTTGGGGCTCATCAGATAGGCGCAGTCCCCAAGTTTCCGTCAACCTTATGCCCGACTTGAAACCAAATTGCACGAAATTAGAGAATATACACTCATTTGCAAGCTAATTAGGTTTTTCGAGAGACTCGTCTGGAACACAGCTGAATCTCTCGTTTGTGATGTTTCATCACGTTTATTCTCCTTGGTTGTTTTCGTATACGGTCAGGGTGGTAGTAAAACTGGAGCGCGGGTCGGGGTTGGGAGTTGGCGAGTGTTCAGTTTACAAAACAGACTTACTCAGTTATGAAACTGAATGCGTTTCGCATGACCAAAGGTTGACAAGTTCTTTGTAATGTACTACTCATAAGGTTGCTGAAAATCCATCGACAGCCCACGAACGAGAACATCATAAACGAGAGATTCAGCTGGGTTCCAGGTGAGTCTCTCTAAAGAACCAAATTAGTTTGCAGATGAGCGTATATTTGGTAACAAGTTCTTTTCGTTCGCCAGTAAAAAGAGTGGATTGATTGAAAAGTCGGGAGAAGGGTGACTGGAAGTAAACCCAATAAGATTGACTGGAAAGCAGTCGGCCAATCAGTTTTGAGTTATACAGAGAAGGCGGAATTATCCCGTCGAGTTGTCGCTCAAATAATCCACAAAGACTGTCTCACTCTGTGTCTCAGTGCGGTACAATTAGAGGTCCAAATTGCTAGCACCCATCTGCTCAACTCAAATTTGAATGACATTGTCAGTTCAAAATCTTGTAACGTTCATCCGTGCACTTATTTGCGAGTGGTTTACATTTCGGCGCCTGTCTGAGCATTTAGCCCTCTGCATTCAAACCACAGAAGCCAAATGTAACTTGACCCCTATGAACCAACCGAGGTCACTCGTTTAGCATATTTATAAAGTGGCGCCTGATAGTTTGAAGGTCCTCTTTAAAACGCATTCGAGACAGCACAGACTGTTGTAGTCAGGTTGCGTTAGCCGTCATTCTATCATCGAGAAAGACATGTGAAAGCATTTGCTTTAGTCTGGTTAACCAACGAATTATTTCTGAGATAACTCAAAGATACATGTGAGTGTCATTTCCTTCTGAGTTCTAATCAATAAAGTCTCGGTCATCCGATAAGAATGCATATTTTATCACATGTTCCCACTAGATAGCTGATTTGAACTTTCAGGATGGAATGGGAATCACAGATTTATTCGTTGGTACTCTTTATTCGACCAGATTTCATCCTGAACCACAAGCTTCATCACTGTACCCACACTGTAACGAATTTTGATGTAAATTGCAGAACTGTAAACGAATCAATGTGCACAGTATCGTTGCAGACGTCCACGATGGTGATGCGAAATTTGTGCAGATAGTTTGACAAAAGTGGACCAATGTCACCAGTCTTACTAAGTGCCTACAGCAACCTAACTGCCTTCTCAGCAAACCTCAACTCCGAGACTACATATCACCGTGTGTCTGACCGTTTCCGATGTCTCTTTCAACTCCTCAGGCTTTCAACCGAAATGCGCTGAAGCCAAATTCATGTCAGTTGTGTCTTAGCATATGGGATCATACTGAACACGTGGAACATCAGTTGCTTTTATGAGACGCCTAGTGTGTAACTTATATAGTGTGTGGATCGTTGAATAGGATCGCGCGCACGCAAGGCATAACTGTTCGTCAGGGTGCATGATGAGAGAAATTCCGTAACCGTTTCAGAGAGGTTTGGTAAACAATCGATGGATGTATTGCTGGGCACTGTTTCGCTTCTGACACAAAAGTTTCGTCAGGCCAAGTGAGTAAGAAAGTAGGTTGATTAGGTTTTAAAGTAGTCAGGGAACCAATCCATGAGATTTCTTATGACTAGCCGACTTGATCAGCGCGGGGTGTTCAGTCTGATGTTCCGGTTTGTTGGTTAGTGGGGATGATTAACATACGATAGATTGGTTAGGGGGATTCGTCTTTATGACGAACCAAGATTTCTTCGTCCTAGCTTTTTCAGTCTAGGACACCTTAATCGAAAATTCCTCTTGGGGTTGTTCACAGATTTCGTTCATCTGTGTTCATCAAAGTGACGATTGGTTTAGGGATGCAGTTGGGGGTGGTTAATTGGATCTAACTCTGCTTGGATTTTGTACTTTTACACCCAGACCATTTCGCTGATAACTGCACACCACATCGTGTCATCTCGGCTGATCTAAGACCGCTCTCCACACGTTTGCAAGTTCTACCCCCTCTATTCTATTCACACTGGGATGCTTGGCGATTTCCACCGCCTCGGCCACCAGTCGCTTTGGTGTGAATCTTAAACTCCGTCTCAGGATGTCCACCTTTTCTAAATCTATCCTATGCCCAGTGTCTACAGCGCATGCCCTGTCATTGGTGAATCTTTGACTAACGCCAGGTATTCCTCTGCATTTCTCGGTGGTCTGTTAATGGAACGCTTATGCTCATCGATTCTGATGTGCTATTCCCTTGCTGTCTGACCTATATAGACTTTCGTCCAATCGTTATATTTTATTTTGTATACACAGTTCCTAGTCATATCAACCGGAAGGCGATCCTTCAAATGCACCAACACCGAGCGTAAAGTTTTCCCCTTCTGGAAAGCTACTCTAATGTTAGCCGTATTCAGTACCCTTCTAATGATTTCAGATGTCCCTCTTTTGTATGGAATGACCGCTGTTCCGATCCACTCCTTGTTGGGCCTTGGTGTTGGCACCAATACCCGTCTTAGCTGCCGCTTAATTAAACCCACTGGGTATCCGCTATCTTGGAGTCGCTTTATTACCTCAGGTCGGCCGAAGAGCGGCACAACTCAGAGTTTCCATCCGGGCAGGCCCAAGCCACCGGTTTCTCAGGTCAATCTGTAATTCTGTTGGCTACATCAATCGATCAGGTGGCACAGCCATGTTTAACCCTGTTGGAGAGCAATTTGTACGTTCCAAAAACCAGTTTTACGGAAGTAATCTCAACTCACGGATTATATGGCTAGTTATTTGTTATGGTGGAACATTGGATTCATGCTAAGATGCTACGCTTAGTAATCTCAACTCACGGATTATACGGCTAGTTATTTGTTATGGGGGAACATTGGATTCATGCTAAGATGCTACGGCTGATACGTGTTCGTAAATTTCTCCGTCATATCAGTTTAGCTGAGTCGTTCTTGGTACCACAGACCATTTGGCGTAAATTGGTTTTTCGACAGCGTGTGCGCACCTTAGTCCGCTTTAAACGACAAGAGGAAGGTCGGAGGCATAAAGAGAGGGCAGTTCTAAAGCTACGCATAATGTGCGCGCATGATGGATATCAGTGGCTGCAGCACTTACGAGCCACGCTAACGGACGGTTAGAGTGAAATGTGATGCAACGTGGTCCAATTTATGGAACTCGGAGACTATCGGTTTCGGAGGCACTTTATTAAGAACTTCGGTGTTAGGCGAGTGCGGATGAGTATCCATGGGTAGATGGGACGTTGCTTGCTTTCAGTGCAACTGTATATCCAGCTTTGTTCTGTGAACCTGGCTTTGCTTCGCTAACCAGAGGAAGCCCCGATTCCAAGCGCAGAGAAGCAACAGATTTTGAGGTTTCAGCGTTCGGTATCTACCCCTTCATCCATATTGCTCAATGCTATGGCGTTCCATATAAAGTGAACAGAACCAATCGTTGACTGCAAGTTTTAGCAATGCAACATTTAAAGTATCAGTGTTATTACAAAAGGTCCCTGAACTGAACCAACAATATAACCGCTGAATTTTGGATATCTTTAATCCGTCGGAGCTCTTTTCAATTGCTGATCGCTGCCAGTTCGGCCAACTCAGGAAGGACAGTCGATAAATGGACATTCCAGTTATGATACCAAATGCCAACTTTCATCTTATATTTGTGGAAAAGACCTCTAACACGAGGAGGCTTCGGATGATATCTAGTGAACTATGTATCCTGGGATGATTTTAGTACTACCAAAGGGACGACTTTTTCAAAAAAAAGTACAGACGATGAGTGTGAGATTCGAACCCGTGATACTGACCAATGTCCTCGGATGGAAGAACAATTGTACGGCGAGTGAAGATAAACGGTTGAAGCTTCGACTGGTGCCTGACATTCTATCCGCTTTACAAGTACAGATGTTATCCCCAAACTATTCTCTCCCTAACGAGCATTGTAAGAACTCTTGCTCGCGTTGCCCTTTTGAAAAGACAATGTGCCAGCGTGCGAAGCAATGCAATGTTAACTCCAACAATGTATGACAACTAACCACGGTCTGCCAATGAGTATTGTCCTCAGGTATTTTCCTCAAAAAATGGTCTCCATCATACTTTGCAATATTGGCTCACACTGATCTCCTGTGCACCATTGAGTATAAGGGGAAAGACCCGAGCATCAATCCGATTGAAAGCAGAATGCACAAGCAGATGGAAAACATCAGGAACAAGAAGTTCTTTTGAATCTGAGGTAAATTCTGTTATATCTGCTGATTCGTCTACCTGTGGTATCTGCTACTGACCCGCTCCAGTGCCCGGTGTCTGAAAAAGACTCAAAGAAGGGAACAAGCGAGTGCGAGAGCGTGAGTGCGTGCGAGTGCAATAGCAAAAGTTACGACGGCCCCACGCTATTTAAAGGGGGCTTTCTGACATTGATCGATAGGCGTTAATGAACACCCATCAACATCGATCGTGCATCTATGACATACTTGAACGCTGATCACATTCGATTGTGCTTCTGTGGCGTGCATGAGGACTCATTAGTTTTGCTGAATTGATTGAATGATTGACTGGTCTGGATGCTTGCCGGCTTTCCTGTTGTGATTTAGGTGGAGCAGTAGGTTCCGGGCGTTCTGAGGTTACTTCCAGGAATCTGACCTTTTTGATAAATCCCTTATCCCCAAGTATCATTATGTAACGTTCAACGTCTCTGGCTATCTGACTACCTCCCTTATTCACAACAGGAGTCAGACAGCTTCAGCTAAATCTCAAGGTCGAACTAGGCTCACAGGTGCAGCTGGCCTGTTTCCTTTTCTCTTCTACAAAACAGAATGACTGCAAGGATGAGGAAGGTTGTAAATATGCGCAGGGAGAAGCACGCCTTGCTGCGGGTCTATCTACCAACAAACACGAACTAGCCGGTTACAAGCCATCAGACATTAAAGTAAATAGTTTATACGCACAGAGTTTTTAAAAAGTGAACATTTTCAAGCGTCCTTTTGAACTTAGCTGGGCGCTGTTTTTCTAATAAAGAATGATGAACGAACACTGCGAAGCGGTTCCATAAGTTCCGCAGTGGCCTTCATTCCCCATCGGATGCGGAAGCGGAGTTTGGATAACAAGCAACACACTACTCGCATGCCTCATCAGTAGTAGGCGTCGTTAAATTGGTAGCTCAGAATTGGTTGTTGACCAAATCGGATGCGCGGAGTTTGGATAACAAGCAACACACTACTCGCATGCCTCATCAGTAGTAGGCGTCGTTAAAATGGTAGCACAGAATTGGTTGTTGACCGGGTGGCCGTTTATTTGTTCGCTGATCTTACACACGCTTAAGCATCAAATGAGAAGACATTATCAATGCGAGGTCAGGTCAGTAGGGTTTATCCTCCTTTGCTGTGTGCGTCTGTGAGGCTTTTGATGAGCATCTGGCGGGAGCGGCTAATGGGGAGACAGTTTCCACGTAAGTTTATTGATTTGTTTACTTACCCAAATACCTTTTATTTTTACCAGTTTTCCTTCCTCGTTTCGACTGACCCGCTCTAAATTTGCACTTCGTTATGGTCCGACCTTCTCAGGTTAACGTGATTCGTCGCGCCGTCTGCTTTTTCATTATCTTAGCCGATTCTCTTGCTTCCATGTGTTAATTAGGTGCACTCGGTTTCCTTTAATTTATTGGTTATTTGCATATTCCAGTCAAACGGATTTATCTGCTCAAATTGGGCTTTCCCGTTACTTCTGCGCGTTCATTTTCTGGAAGCTTGTGCAGTTTTGAGCTCTGTAGTTCGGGCATTTTCTTTATCTTAGTGGTTGCCAAATCGGGTCGAGTTCAAAGTTTGTTGACGGCATCTTCGGTGTAGAAAGCTCTTTGTGGACCAATACCGGCTTCAATGTTCTCACGTACCCAGAATCTGTTAGATTTCTAGTGAAAAGTGTCTACCTTTTCCTTCAGATTCACTCCCATCTTTGAGACTACAAATTCTGTCCTTCGGGCTCGAGAGTTCAACGATATTTGATCTAAAAGCCTGATCCTGTTTATGTAGCCATGAACGATGTTGATGAAAGCTGATTGGTATACAGGAGAAAGCACGGCATGGTATGGGCTGAGTGGACACATACACACAAACAGGCCAAGATGAGCGCCGTCTGTAATATCTGCTCGTGAGGTGCTTGACGCTTCTTGATCCATATTTCTCCCGTAGCTTCACGTTTGAGCCTGGGAAACTCTGGTCGCCCAAATAGACGCGCTCGGGTGGGACCATTCTCCCTGAGCGGAACAACAACGCCATTTCACTCAGAATGTCATATAGTTTCAGCCTAGTCCTCGTGAACGACCATAAGCACAGTCTCCCTGCTTCACCGGAGACATAGATCAATAGGGTGGTTTATCGATGTCTGTGAAATTCATACTCTCAGGTCCTATTCAGATTGTCTGACTGGGTGTGTTTGTTTCAGGCAAGCTCTAGGCCCTCCCTCCTTGCCTCAATCCTTTTTGCATCATAAGGGTTTAGTAAAGAAATGATGTGTTGGAATGGCAATGAAGTACGAGCGTTTTCATCGGGTGTTCCCGTCAATGATGATGATGATGCCCAGAATTCAGCGGCCAGCAAAACTATCATACACTCACAAACTAGATAGGGTCTACCTCAGACAGCTGTTCCCTAGAATTATTTCGCTTCAAGACCGCGATCGTTAGACCGAGGTGACATGGTATCGATAACTGGTCGCACAAAGGTAACTTCTCCGCGTTGTGGATATAGAATGTTAGAATTTTTTTTGGGTTGGCTGTGCAGATATTTATGTGTTTATTCATATCTACTAACCATTTCTCAATAGAGGAAAGTTTTTTATGATCTCCGAGTTTTACAAACACTAAACTTCTGCTCACAATTACCGTCGTCCCGCCCGCCAAAGGTTTCACTCCAATTCGCAATATCAGCTGCGCGCAGTGTCTAATGGATCCGATCACGGAGACAAGCGACAAGACCTACGTAGAACAGGAAATGCAACGTCGACAGTGCCTTGATGAACCTACGAGATTTTTCAAGCCTTGGTGAGTTTGAAACAGGGTATGCGATTGGAGAAAATGTTAGTAGTTCAGGTTTCTTCATTCACTCAGCCAGACAATCGCTTGATCTATCGATCAGCCATCCAAAAATAGTTTGATATTGATTTGGCGGTCAACCATCTGGACTGGACTAGTCATACAACAACTAAATCAGTGAATATTATCCAAAAGTTGAGTGCAAAACTTGGTTGGGCATCTCAAAGCTCACAGGTGCTGTCATCTTGTCTATTTAAGGGAGATGATCACGTTAGGCTTTTAGTAATTTGTTCGTCCAGGCGGATGTGCATTGCCGAGGGAAGGACAACCGAAACTGGAAGGGCGTTTATTTAGAGTGCCCATCAGTTGCCATTTACGAAACATCACAATACCGATTTTTTGAGACAGGAGCAGTCGAGAGAATGAGGTTGATATCGAACTATGGACCTTCCAGTCATTACATTCACACTTCAACCACTAAGCCATCTCAAGGTTTACTTTTACTCGAAACGGGACTTCGTTTTCAAGAAGTATTCTTGGAGGCGTTCTACCCGATTCCGCTTGCGATCATCAGGATTCTTGTGTAGGGTAACCAACGGTAGCCTCAGAGTTGTTCCGTTTCTTAAGCCCTTTTGATCCACAAAAGTCACCTTGACCCAGTAACTGAAGTTGAGAAAGATTATGTATTGCACATTGATTTCACATACGCAGTGTAACGATAATGGCGAACAAGTAGACATCGGACGAAGTGTACTGGCCCGAGCGACCCTGAACCTTTGCACTAGCAATCGGTGTCATCAGTTATGACGGCATTGTACAGAACGCAATCCCTGTTACATAGACGAATGATTGATTTCTTTGTTCATCACGATAAGCAATTGGTTTCTCATAAGAGATGAAATTCCTGAATAGCCTCACTTTCGGATATTAGTTCTGCTATTTTGTCGAATGGAAAGTGCTCTCCCATTGTTTAGGCGTTGAACTCCCTCGACGAACGTCTCCACTCTCATCACTTACGGTCTCACCTCTCCAACACAGAGAACTACCTACTAGGTATGTTTTAGTAAGTCACTCAAGGAAGAGAATATCAGTCCTTGAGGCGTTTTTGAATGCTAGCGTAGATACCGATTGTCTTAAAAGGCTGTGGGATAATTCAGCCTTTTAACTCACTGTTGCTAATATCCTCTATCACTGATTTAGCACGTCTTATACCGTACTCGTATTCGCAGTCTACATCTTGGAATGAGTCTGAAATTTTGCCTTGTCAAGTGCAGTCATGTGCCCCGCAGTTTAAGTTCCGTGCGCATTCACTCAAAACGCACTGAAGTTGTCTAGGTCACTTTTGATTACAACGCTTCAGCGTCAAATCGCGATCAATTATCCGGTAAAAATCGGGGCACTTTGTTCGGTTTGGTACTGTTTGTACTTATTGATAGTTTGGAGAACTTCTCAGTCTGAGGGACTTCCATGAACATCCATCTAGTTCCATACATGACGCTTACGTCGATAATAGAACAAACGGTTTTTCATGAACAGTAAGGACTTGCTAAGCAGAGAAGTGCCGACTATGAAAATTGTAACTCTTCTTTTCCTTCAGCCCCATGGACGGCGATGTTGCTCCTAGAGGTTGCGGAAAAATCACCACATTTGTGGCTCATCCGGTACCAAAAGGAGATGTTGAAGGTAAGTATTTCACTCTGTAAACATTGGGCACAGCTGGCTTGGCGTTCTTCTCCTATCTGATTGGGGCAAATGCATGTTTGAAATTGTACAGTATGCATGCATGTTCTCGAAGTGTCTTGTCGGAATAGCTGCTTGCTTTTGATTAATACGCATCCGAGTAGGTATGTACCAAATTTCATGATGGCATTGGAAGATGGTTTTCCAACCTGAGTCCTCCGTTGTCCCTGAAACCCAGGGAGTGTCGATCAGTGGTATGTAGTCGGACAAAACTTGGTACAAATACGGAGAGGAATCTGTTTCTCCGTATCATCATCTCCGCCTCTAAACATGCACAGCAACCTGGAACAAGTGAATAACACATGCGACCTCCATCTGACCCCATTCGCACTCGATAATCCGTGTACGTTTAGAGCAGATTTACCGGAAACCTACTTAGATCCTTGTTGCTTAGAACAGGCAATTCGAGAAACGTGTACTACCTGAATGACTCAACAACCAAAAAGCACCCGTCTCGATTCAGATGACACCCTTATGTGGCAATAAACCCGGACCACAACCTCCCATCCTTGTCTTTGGACCGTATTCAATATTTTCATAAAGGAAACTACTCACAAGGTTGCTGAAAACTCTTCGACAGCCCANAACCTCCCATCTTTTTCTTTGGACCGTATTCAATATTTTCATAAAGGAAACTACTCACAAGGTTGCTGAATACTCTTCGACAGCCCACGACCGGTTTCGCTCTGCTTGGCGCTCATCAGGTAGGCGCAGTCCCCGAGTTTCCGTCATCCTTATGATCTACTTAAACCCAAATTGGGTTGTTTTCTAGAAATACACTCATTTGCAGGTCAATTTGGTTTCCACGGGAGACTCAACTGAACCTCTCGTAGAATATCATAAACGAGAGATTTCTCTCGTGAAAACCAAGTTGATTTGCGAATCAGTTTATTTCTCGTATTCAATA